CAAGAGCATACAATGGAGGCAAAACAGTCTCTTAAATAAATGGTGTTGTGAAATTTGGACAGATATATGCAAAAAATTAAACTTGGTCACCAACTTACACATGCACAAAAACAAACTCAAAATGGCTAAAGGACTTGAATGTAAGACAGGAAACCATAAAAATCCTACAAGACTCCATAGGCAGCAATATAGCAGACATATGTTGTACCACTATCTTTACAGACACAGCTCATAGGGCAATGGAGACTAAGGAGAAAATAAACAAATGGGACTACATCAAAATAGAAAGTTTCTACACAGCAAAAGGAACCATTAACAAAACAACAAGAAAACCCACTGCATGGGAGAACATATTTGCCAGTGATATTTCCAATAAGTATGCCATCTTCCAAATTTAAAGAGAACTCATACAACTAAACAAAAGGAAGATAAACCATCCAATCAAAAAATGGTAAATGTATCTAAATAGACACTTTTCAAAAGAGGACTACAGAAGGCCCAGAGACATATGAAAACATGCTCAAAGTCACTAATAATTCGAGAGATGAAAATCAAAACAACAATTAGATGTCATCTCACACCTGTCAGAATGGCTATCATCAACAAATCAACAAAGGGCAAGTGCTGGTGAGGATGTGGAGAAAAAGGAGCCCTCTTGCATTGCTGGTGGGAATGCAGACTGGTGCAGCCAGTAATCCCATTTTTATGACTGTATCCGAAGAAACCAGAAACACCAATCAGAAAGGATATATGCACTCCTATATTCATAGCAGCACAATTTACAATAGCAAAGATTTGGAAAGAGCCTAAGTACCCATCAGCAGATGAGTGGATTAAAAAACTGTGGTACACCTACTCAATGGAATACTATGCTGCTATAAAAAAGAAGGAACTTTTACCATTTGCAACAGCATGGATGGAACTGGAGAGCATTATGCTATGCGAAGTAAGCCAGTCAGAGAAAGATAAATATCACATGATCTCACTCATATGTGGGATATAATGATCAACATAATTTGATGAACAATAGTAGATAGATCTAGAGACAAATGGTAAGGGAGGGGTGGTTAGAGAGCATCCAAAGCACTTATATGCATGCATATTAGCATAGCCAATGGACAGAGACACTGGGTGTTGGGGGCTTGCCCTGGCTGGGTAGGGATGGGGGAGGGGGTCAATTGGGGAATAAGGAGACATATGTAAAACTTTAGACAAAATTAATTAAAAAATATATTTTTAATAAAATAGTCAAAGGACCTAAATAGACACTTCTCAAAAATAGACATACAGAAGGCCAAGAAACATATGAAAAAATGCTCAAAGTCATTAATTATCTGAGAGATGCAATCAAAATGCCAATGAGGACCATCTCACACCTGTCAGAATGGCTATCATCAACAAATCAACAAATGAGAAGTGCTTGAGAGGATGTGGAGAAAAAGGAACCCTCATACACTGCTTGTCGGAATGCAGATTGACGTAACCACTATGGAAAACAGTATGTAGTTTCCTCAAAAAATTAAAAATGGAACTTTCATTTTACCCAGTAATCCTACTTCTAGGAATATATCCCAGGAAATCAGAAACAGCAGAAACTTTTGCCTACTCATCCATTACAGTAGGGAACGACCTGGAGAGCATTATGCAAAGTGAAATAAGTCAGTTGGTGAATGATAAATATCACATGATATCACTCATTTGTGGAATATAATGAACAATGTATACTTCTGAACAAAAATAGATCCAGAGACATAGAAACATTGAACAATCAAATCTCAGGGGAAGGCAAGGGAGGATGGGGGCAGGGAAGTAAGCAATCAACCAAAGGACTTGTATGAATACATATAAACATAACCAATGGATACAGATAGTAGGGGGGCGAGGGCATCTACTATAGGGATGGGAATAGCCTGGGAGAGGTCAATGGGGGGAAAATGATACACATGTAAGTATGTCAGCAATAAAGAATTTACATTAAAAAAGAACCATACTCCTAACAGTTATTATAGGTTCCTTTCATCAATCTGTGAATTAACCCCTCTTCATATAACTGGATTCCATTTTGTACATTCAATGTTTCAAATATACTCCAGAAGCTAAATAAAATAAAATAAATGTTCCTTGGTTTATCTCTACCCATCCCCCACCCCTACATCAAAGTATGTCAGTCTGTTCCATGCCTCCATGCTTTGAGTCTTCTTGTATTGGTTAATTCATTTTGCTCATTAAATTTCACAAATAAGTGAAATAATATGATATTTATCTTTCTCAGATTCTCTTAATTCACTAGCAAAATAATCCCCAGGACCATATATGCTGTTCCAAAGGGCAAAAGATCCCTCCTTTTATTTTAAGTTGCATAGTATTCCATTGTGTAAATGTTTCACAGCTTTTTTATCCATTAACCTCCTGATGGGCACTTGGGTTGTTTCCAAATCTTAGCTATTGTAAATAATGCTGTGATTAACATAGGGATGCATATATTCTTTCTGATTGGTGTTTCAGGATTTTTAGGATATATTCTGAGAAGTGGCATTGCTGAGTCAAATAGAAGTTCCATTTTTAATTTTTTGAGGAAACTCCATACTGTTTTCCATAGTGGGTGCACCAGTCTGCATTCCCACCAGCAATGAACTAGTGTTCCCTTTCCCTGCATTCTCACCAGGACTTGTGTGTTGATTTGTTGATGATAGCCATTCTGACCGGTGTAAGGTGATATTCATTGTGGTTTTAATTTGCATTTATCTGATGATTACAACCTTTCAGCATGTCTTCATATGTCTCTTGGCAATTTGCATGTCCTCTTGGGAGAAATGTCTATTCAGGTCTTCTGCTAATTTTTTAATTTGATTGTTTGTCTTCCTTTAGTTGAGTGGTATAAGTGCTTTATATATTTTGGAGATTAACCTCTTATCAGATGTATCTTTGGATAATATGTTCTTCCATACAGTGGGTTCCCTTTTAATTTTGATGGTGGTTTATTTTTCTGTGCAGAAGCTTCTTATTTTGATGTATTAATATTTATTTATTTTCTCCTGTACTTCATTTGCCCTAGGAAATGTATCAGCAAAAATTCTGCTCTGAGAGATGTCTGAGATTTTACTGCTTATATTTTCTTCTGATATTTTTATGGTTTCTTGTCTTACTTTAAGTCTTTAATTAATTGGGAGTTTATTCTTGTATATGGTTTATTCTTGTATTTGGTGATCTAGTTTCATCTTTTTGCATGTGTCAGACCAGTTTTCTCAAAACTATTTGTTGAAGAGGCTGTCTTTACTCCCTTGTATGTTCTTACCTCCTTTGTCTAATATTAATTGGCAGTAATGGTGTGGATCAATTTCTGGGGTTTCTGTTCTGATCCATTGGTCTATGTGCCTGTACTTTTGCCAGTAAAAGTCTGTTTTGGTTATAATGGTTTTGCAATATAATTTGATATCTGGTATTGTGATCCCTGCTACTTTATTCTTCTTTCCAAAGTTTGCTGCAGCTATTCAAGGAATTTTATGCTTCAACATATATTTTTGGAGTATTCTAGTTCTGTGAAGTATGTCTTTGGCATTTTAATAGGGATTGCAATAAATCTATAGGTTGCTTTGGGAAGTATATACATTTTAATGATGTTAATTCATCCAATCCATGAAAATGGTCTATGTTTCCTTTTTTTGTACCTTCTTCTATTTCTTTTTTTTTAATACCCTAAATTTTCCAAATACAAGTCTTTTATCTCCTTGGTTAAGTTTTTTTCCTATGCATCTTAGTTTTTTTGTTGTTGTTGCAATGGTAAATGGCATTGTTTCTTTGGTTTCTCTTTCTGAGAGTTCATTATTGGTCTATGAAAATGCCATCAATTTCTGGGTGTTGATTTTGTATCCTGCTACATTGCCACATTTTTTTATTAAGTCTAATAGTTTCCTAATGGAGTCTTTAGGGTTTTCTATGTAAAATATTACATCATCTGTGAATAACAACAGTTTAATTTCCTCCTTTCTAATTTGTATGCCTCTTATTATTTTTTCTTGTTTCATTGCTGTGGCTAGGACTTCCAGTACTATATTGAATTAGGGTGGAGAAAGTGGACACACTTGTCTCATTCCTGTTATTAAGGAAAACATTCTTAATTGTTGACCATTGAGTATTATGTTGGCTGTAGGTTTTTCACATATGGCCTTTATTATGTTGATATATGATCCCTCTATTCCCACTTTCCTGAGAGTTTTTATCAAAAAGGATGCTGGATTTTGTCAAATTCTTTTTCTGCCTCTATTGATATGATAATATGATTATTTATTTAATTTTTTATTTAAAATATATTTTATTGATTCTTTTACAGAGAAGAAGGGAGAGGGATAGAGAGTGAGAAACATCGATGAAAGAGAAACATTGATCAGCTGCCTCCTGCACACTCCTCACTGAGGATGTGTCCGCAACCAAGGTACATGCCCTTGACCAGAATCAAACCCGGGACCCTTGAGTCTGCAGGCCGACGCTCTATCCACTGAGCCAAACCGGTCAGGGATAATCATATGATTTTTATCTTTCAATTTGTTTATGTGGTATATCACAATTATTGATTTGCAGATATTGTACCAGCCTTGCATTCACAGAATAAATCCCACTTAATCATGACGTATGATCATTTTAATATATTGCCAGATCTCATTTGCTAGTATTTTGTTGAGGACTTTGTCATCTTTGATTATTAGGGATATTGGCCTGTAAATTTCTTTCTTTATAGTGTCTTTATCTGCTTTTCGAATTAAGATAATCCTGGCTTCATAAAAAGAGCTTGGAAGTGTTCCTTCCTCTTGAATTATTTAAAATAGTTTGAGGAAAATAGGTGTCAGTTCTTCTTTGAATGTTTGGCAAAATTCTCCTGAAAATCCATCAGGTCCAAAATTTTTGTTTGCTAGAAGTTATTTAATTACTGCTTCAATTTCAACAGTTGTTACTGTCTTACTCAGTTTTTCTGATTTTTCCTCATTGAATTTTGGAAGATTGTGTTTCCAGGAATTTTTCCATTTCGCCCAGGTTGTCCAGTTTGTTGGAATTTAGTTGTTCGTAGTATCTGCTTTGGATCCTTATATTTCTGTGGTGTCTGTTGTTATATCGCCATTTTTGCTTCTGATTTTATTTACTTTGGTTCTCTCTCTTTTTTTCTTGATGAACCTAGCTAGCGGTATGTCAATCTTGTTTATCTTTTCAAAGAACCAGCTCTTTGATTCATTGATTTTTATACTGTTTTTAATACTCTCCATCATTTATTTCTGCTCTGATCTTTATAATTTGCTTCCTTATACTTCCTCTGAGCTTTTCTTGCTGTTCTCTTTTTAATTCATTTAGATGTAAGGTTAGATAGTTTATTAGTGCTTTTTCCTATGTTTTGTTTGTTTGTTTGTTTGAGGTAAGCTTATAATTCTATGAACTTCCCTTCAGGACTTCTTTCACTGTGTCCCATAGGTTTTGTGTGGTTTAATGTTCATTTTTATTTGTTTCCAAGAAGTTTTTATTTATTGCTTGATTTCATTGGCAACCCATTCATTGTTTAATAACATGCTATTTAGACTCCATGTATTTGCGTATGTTTGAGTTTCTTTTTAAATTGTAGTTGATTTCTAACTTCATGCCATTGTGATCTGAGAAGATACTTGGTATTATACCAATCTTCTTGAATTTGTATAGGCTTCTTTTGTGTTCTAATGTGTTGTCTATTTTTAAGAATGTTCCATGTGCACTTGAGAAGAATATATATTCTGTTTCTTTTGGGGAGAAATGTTCTGTAAATATCAGTTAGATTCATCTGATCTAGTGTGTCATTTAAGGACACTGTTTCCTTGTTGATATTTTGTCTGGGCTATGTATCCAATGGTGTCAGTGGGGTGTTGATGTCCACTACTATGACTTTATTGCTGTTAATCTCTCCCTTTAAGATCATGAAGAGATTTTTTATGATCTTGGGTATTCCTATATTGGGTGTAATCCAAATATGATTGCAAGGGTTAAAATTCGTTTTTATGGCTATGCATATCTCTATTTAAAAAAATCTTTATTGTTGAAAGTATTACATATGTCCCCCTTTTACACAATTGACCTCTCCCATGCCCCCCCCCCCAGCCTTCACCACCCTATTGTCAATGGGTTATGTGTATACCCATGTGAGTTCCTTGGTTGATCTTGTTCGCCCCCTCCTCTGCCTTCCCTCTGAGGTTTGATGATGTTCCATGTTTCTATGTCTCTGTGTCTATTTTTGTTCACCTGTATATGTTGTACATTAGATACCACATATGAGTGAGGTCATGTGATACTTATTTTTCTCTAACTGGCTTATTTCGTTTAGCATAATGCTCTCTAGATCAGTGATGGCGAACCTATGACACGCGTGTCAGAGGTGACACGTGAACTCATTTTTTTTGTTAAATGGCATTTAAATCTGAATTATTTGAATATATTCCTAGAAGTGGAACCACTGGGTCAAATGAGAGCTCCATTTTTAATTTTTTGAGGAAACTCCAAACTGTTTTCCACAAAGGTTGCACCAGTCCGTATTCCCACCAGCAGTGTACAAGGGTTCCTTTTTCCCCACATCTTCATCAACACATGTTGTTTGTTGATTTGTTGATGAGAGCCATTCTGGCAGGTGTGAGGTGATACTTCATTGTCATTTTATTTTGCATCTCTTGTATGATTAGTGACTTTGAGCATTTTTTTATATGCCTTCTGATCTTCTGTATATCCACTTTGGAGAACTCTCTATGTCTTTTGCCCATTTTTAAAAATATATTTTTATTGATTTCAGAGTGGAAAGGAGAAGGAGAGAGAGATAGAAACATCAGTTACGTAGTGGGAATCATTGATTGGCTGCCTCTTGCACGCCCCACACAGGGGATCGAGCTTGCTACTCAGGCATGTGACCTCCTGATTCATAGGTTAATGCTGATCCACTGAGCCACTCCGACTGGCCCTTTACATATTTTTTAATTGGATTATTCACCTTCCTTTTGTTAAGATATATGAGTTCCATATGAATTTTGGGAGTTAACCCCTTATTGGGCGTATCATTGGCAAATATATTCCCTGATGAATTGGGCTCTCTTGATATTTTGTTGATGGTTTCTTTTGCTCTCCTTAAGCTTTATATACTGATGTAGCCTGATTTGTTTATTTTCTCCTTCATTTCATTGTACTAGGAGATGCACCTGTAAACATATTGCTATGAGAGATGTCTGAGATTTTGTACCCAAAGTTTTCTTCTAGGATTTTTATGGTTTCATGTATTACTTAAGTCTTTTATTCATTTTGAGTTTATTTTTGTGTATGGTGTAAGTTGGTGGTCTAGTGTCATTTTTTTTAGTGGATCTATCCAATTTCCCCCCACAATTTACTGAAGAGAATCTCCCAATTCCATCGTATGCTCTTGATTCCTTTGTCAAATATTAATTTAACATAATGGCTTGGGTGGATTTCTGGGTTTTCTGTTCTGTTCCATTTGTCTATATAATTGTTCTTGTGACAGTACCAGGCTGTTTTGAGTATGGTGGCATGAAATTCGTGCACGGGGGGTAGGGGTGTGGTCCCTCAGCCCGGCCTGTGACCTCTCACAGTCGGGGACCCCTTGCTTCTTACTACCCGCCTGCTTGCTGCTCCCTACTGATCACCTCGCTGCACCTTAGTGCTGCCATGGAGGTTCCCGCCACCTCCGCTGCACTGGCCAGCTGTGAGCCCAGCTTCTGGCTCAGCAGCACTCTCCCTGTAGGAGTCCACTGACCACCAGGGGGCAGCTCCTACATTGAACACCTGCCCCCTGGTGATCAGTTCATAGCGACCAGTCATTCCACATTTTGGTCTATTTGCATATTACGGTTTTATTATATAGGATAAGATATTGAATATGAACTGTAAATGAAAAATAAAATTTAAAAAACAACCAAATAAAATTTTAGATCTGAATATATATATATATTCTCACTTGAGGATGTTTTGAAAATTGATTTTTAGAGAGATAAACATCCATGTGACAGAGAAATACCAGTAGGCTGCTTCTGCACCTGCTGACCCAGTGGGATCTAACCTAAACTTAAGTATGTGCCCTAACCTAGAATCCAACAGGAAATCCTTTGGTGTACAGGTTTAGACTCCAACCAATTAAGCCAACTGGCCAGGGCAGATCTGAAAAAAAAAAAAAAAATTAATGTACCTTCAGACCCTGGTCAGTGTAGATCAGTAGTTAGAGTGCCCTCCCATGCACCAAAGGGTCGTGGGTTCGATTCCAGGTGAGGCACATACACAGGTTGTGGGTTCCATCCCTGTCAGATTGCTTGGGCAACTGATCAAAGTTTCTCTTTCTCGTTCCCTCTCCCTTCTTCTCTCTCTAGAATCAATGAAAAGAACATATCTTTAGAGGAGGACTTAAAAAGAAAAAAAAAATGCTTGTTTGGTTCAGTGGATAGTGCTTCTGCAGGCGAACTGAAGGGTACCGATCAAGGGCACATACCTGGATTGCAGGCTTAATCCAGGGCCCTGGTTGGGGATTCAGCAAGAGGCAACCAATTGATGTCTTTCATATTAGTTTCTGTCTTTCTCCCTCCCTTCCACTCTCTATAAAAAAAAAAATCAATACAAAAATGTCCTCAGGTTAGGATTCACTAAAACAAACAAACACCCATTCCCAGTGTGATTATTGAAGGAGCTTATGAAGTATTTCTTAAATGAATGGGAAGGGATGGGACTTTGCTTTCTAACTGTTTTAGCAACTCTTCAAGCCAGAGGGTTTATTTTTATTTTTTAAAATATATTTTATTGATTTTTTAGAGAGAGGAAGGGAGAGGGATAGAGAGTTAGAAACATCAGTGAGAGAGAAAGATCAATCAGCTTCCTCCTGCATACCCTCACTAGGGATGTGCCTGCAAACAAGGTACATGCCCTGGACTGGAATCAAACCTAGGACCCCTCAATCCACAGACTAACGCTCTATCCACTGAGCCAAACCAGTTAGGGCCAAAGGGTTTATTTTTTATTTTTTAAATATTTTCATTGATTTTTTTACAGAGAGGACGGGAGAGGGATAGAGAGTTAGAAACATCGATGAGAGAGAAACATTGATCAGCTGCCTCCTGCACACCCCCTACTGGGGATGTGCCCAAAACCAAGGTACATGCCCTTGACCAGAGTCGAACCTGGGACCCTTCAGTCCACAAGCTGACGCTCTATCCACCAAGCCAAACCGGCTAGGGCAAGGGTTTATTTTTTATTTTAATTTTTATTGATTGATTACTTTAGAGAGAGGAAGGGAGCGAGAGAAACATTAGTGTGTTGTTCCACTTATTATGCTGTCTTTGGTTGCTTCTTGTCTGTGCCCTGACCAGGATCCAACCTGCACCCTTGCTGTATCAGGAGGAGTTTCTAACCCACTGCACTGTGCGCTGCCTGTCAGAGCTCCTCAACAAAACCCCTCTGGTGTTCCCTGGACCCTTTTGTGGGCTGGAGCTCCTCTGCCACAGCAAAGCTTTGGGTTCCATTCTGTCAGGGCACCTACTTAGGTTTTGGGTTTGATCCCTGGTCCGGGCTGACTGCTGCTCAGGAAGTGACCAAGGACCATGGAGTGCTCTAGTCATTCGGTGGGGAGCTGGGGTTCTATTGCTGACATGGCTGACTCTGATCCCCACTACCCCAGTCCTCCACCAAGGGTGACTTCAACTATGGCAGCTGCATAGGTCACACTCTCTGTGGCTCGCCAGGCCTGGCTGCTGTGCAGTCACCCCGGGAGGCAGATTTCTGAGTTCCCAGGGAGAGTGCCCTCTGTGCAGGACTCCCAGGAAGAGCAGGTCTTTCAGGGTTCCCGGGCTGGAGTGGAACACCCATCCTCAGGGCTTAGAGGGAGGGCAGCCTCAGGAGTCCTCCTAGCTGGGTGTGAGAAAACACAACTGGAGCCCTTCCTCCTTGAACCCTGTCGTCTTCAGCATGTGAACACATTTTATTTTATTTGATGCAGCCTCACATGTCCAGCCTCGTGCAGCAAGCAGCCACTCTCGCCAGCTGCTGTGTGACATTACCTGTGAGGGCATCCTGGATAATTAGCATATTCCTCTCTTATTATATAGGATTACAAGTACAGATCTCTTATCTCCTTAAGTTTATTACTAAATATCTTAACTTTTTTGTTGCAATGGTAAATCGGATTGCTTGTTTAGTTTCCCTTTCTGAGAGTTCATTATCTTATCTAATAAAATATAGAAATTGACCATATCTCTGCTACACTCACAAGCCATGCCCACAAGCAACATCCACAAGCAATGCCCACCAGCCAATCAGGAGCGAGTATGCAAATAAACCCAATCAAGATGGCGGCAGGCCACAGAGCTGGAGCAAACAGTAGGCTTAGGTTGCCCCTGGTGATGAAGGAAGCCAAGCTTCCTGCCTGCCCTGGCCAGCTGTGGGCTCCACTCAAGGCTACAAAGTTACAATTATAAAGGGTGTCCCAAAATTCACGCAAGAAGTAATTTTGATAGAAAACACAGGTTTATAATTAAAAAATTACAATTTTTAATTGATTCATAAAGGATACAGTATAGGGTTATGTGTGGAATAGGAATCTGGATTATCATGTCACCATAGCGAGCACCATTAACTGTTATTGCCTGAGCAGCCGCATTTTCAAAGAAGAATGGTCCGATGATGCCTCCAGACCAAAATCCACACCACAGTGACATGTTGTGGATGCATTTGTTTCTCAACAATCACTTGTGGATTTTATGAACCCCAAATGTGACAATTTTGTCGATTAACCAAGCCATCAAGATTAAAATGAGCCTCATCAAAATTCAGCCACATTTATGCAAAACAGTCATGGAAAATTTCAACAAAAGAGTGTGCATGTGCCAGCAAAGCTGTGGAGGCCATTTACCCGATATGCTATTCCATACATAACCCTATACTGTATACTTTATGAATCCAT